TTGCCACAAGTTGTTGATAACCGGAGATGGTCGGGCTCGAATTCCACTGCAGGCAACATGCAAATTAATTTTTTTTTTTAGTTTTTGTCTTGATTATTCACTTCGCGGATGCTTTTTCAGTATGAACGCGGTCATTTTAATATGCGCGTAATTGAATTGAATATTTACCAATATATAGTACTTTCGTTGACGTTTATAGTGAGATCAATTACGTTTCTATTTGATTTTAATATTTTTTTTCCCTCGGTGCATAAGATCATCAGCGCACATTATTTAAGTTCGCAAGAACTTAATAATTTATTTAGACAACTACAGAATTCATATTTCTTGAAAATATTTTTACGATTATTTTACAATTAATCGATTAATAATCGTTTAATAAAGCACTAATTTATGAAAAAATTAATTCGACAACTGGACAAAAATAATCGATTAATTTAATCAAATGATTAATCGCTGCCATCCCTAGTTATGTACAATTTAGTATTTTCAAAGTCGAACACATTATACCTAATACGAACTCCAAGAAAAATTATGTTAGTCGTGGTTTGCACGATTGTATTCAAAATTTCTAATTCGAGAATGTGTTTTATATGAATACTGAAGGTTAATTTAAACTAAACTTTAATCTGTGTAAAATTTATTTATTATTGTTTGTATATGCGCTTATATTTCTAGGACATATGTCGTACATAGCTAAATAAGTGTCTGCCGAAGGATCGAAAATATGAATTCATTCTTAGAGTCCTCAACCGAGGATAGCCACGATTTTGATGATGAGGGCCATGAATCAAAATTGGTCAACCAAAAGAAATGGGAACTTGGCTACTTGAAGGTATGTAGTATCAATACTGTACTACCTACATACATACGTGGACGAACATGTAAATAGGGAATAGACATTTTAGATATTTTTCTTTGTAAAGAAGTTTTTATTATTATTTTTTTTATAAAAATATAGTTAACTATCTAATAAAAAAACTATGTAAATCAAAGTTTCAAATGAATTTTAACACATCTTCATTAAAATTTAAAACTTTTTAATCAGGTTTTTTTGAATTTTTTTAAGTTTAATTGTAACCGATTAAATTTTTTTCCAAAAATCAACGGTAAGTCTTAGGTATTTCAAACTGGAATTTTATTATACTAAAACTAAATGGCCTACAAAATCGCATACTCGGAATGTTTCTGAGGAATATAATTTAAAAGCTCAAAATTTTGATGAAACTTTCAGGGCAATTGTGGCCAAGATAGTAAAAAGTATTTCGTAGGACTAATGAACGAAAGATGGCAAGATAGTTCGAAAGACTTTGGTTATTCTGGGACAAAAGCCTTAGAAAAAAGCTCTCTCATACACCACTCGCGGTGAAAATTTATTCCAACAGTCGGAATGACGGAGTGAGCAGAGCACTGGCAAACAATTCGAGGTATCCGAGTTCGAGCCCTAGAGCAGCGGAATTCATTTATTTTTTTACTTGATCATTTTTTACTTTTTTTAATTTAATTTTTTTCTTTTCCAATTTAATTCTTTTTTATTTTTTGTTTTTAGTTTCATTTAATTTTTATGAACTTATTTTATTTTATTCTTTTTTGAATACATACATTTTTTTAGCTAAATTTTCTTAAGTTTTTAGATTTTATTGTTTATAGAAGAGGTATTGGTTTAATTTCATTTAATTTTTAGAAACTAATTTTATTAATTGTTTTCTTTTTTTAAATTTAATTAATTTATTTTTTGTTAATTTCACTTTCTTTTAATTATTCGATTTTGTTGTTTTACAAATAAAAATATATTTTTTTATTTCATTTCATTTTTAGGATCTTATTTTATCTTTTAGTCTTTTTTACAGGGACCGTAATTAGCAGTTATTTTTTACCAACAGTTAAACTTGGCCAGATATTTTTTAAGTTCGAAATAAAAGTCTTTCCGGATAGTAAACAAACCACTTATCCAAATTAAACAAATTTGGTACCAACTAAAAGAGGACTTAAATAGCTTTTGAATAGAAATAACGATCGAAAGCTACCACTCCTATTTATATTTTTTTTGTAATTTAATACAATAGATATGCAAATCCTGATACAAGGTTTGTGCTATGGTAATTAATAAATTAATTTTTATTTAAATATTTTACAATTACTGGCTTTCTGCTGGCTTTCCTCGTTTAAATATTTCAGTTTTAAAGCTATTTTAGTACTCTTCTCTCTACTAGTACTAATTTGGATAAGCGGTTTGTTTATTATTAGGAAAGGACTTTTCCTTTTCGACTTAAAAATATCTGGCCAAGTTTAGCTGTTGAAAAAAGTAACTGTTATTTACGTTCCATGCGTTTTTAATTAATTTTTAGATTTTGTTTAAAATTAAATATACATATATTTTTTATTTTTAAGGAGATACTATTTTCTTCCTTTCTGATTTAATTTTTTTCTTTTCTAATTTATTTTTAGATTTTATTGTTATGTTGTTTTTATTGTTTTAAAAATAAAAATATATAATAATTTTAAAAAATTTTTATGAAAACACAAGTTTTTTGGTGTTTCTTTCCGATATATTTCGATTACGCTTCGGTAACCGTCCTCAGGGCAACTATTGACGCGCTCACTTGTACAGACACTTGCTTACAAACAAATCGACAGTACCAAACTCCACGTCAAACAGTGCGGGCGTGTAAATTAATGTATGTATACATTTTGTTTTTAATTATTGTTTTTGGAATTTGTATTTACGTATATCTTATGTTTTACATGTTTGTCAATAGTTGCCCTGAGGACGGTTACCGAAGCGTAATCGAAATATATCGGAAAGAAACACCATAAAACTTGTGTTTTCATAAAAATTTTTTAAAATTGACCTCGAGGCGGCAAAACACTAAATTATAAGTAGGAAGGTCGCTAAAACCATCAGTATAAAAATATATAATAATTAATTTAATTTAATTTTGAAAAAACTTATTGTTTAAAGGCGAACAGCATAAGGTTGAGACCTCCTCGTTAGCAGATCCTTCAAATAGTCTTTCGAAAGACAGTAAAGGGCTTTCAAGGTAGTTGTCAGAATTGAAAATTATCTAACGAATAATAACCAAATAATGCTAAAATGTCTCTTCCCTATTTATATTTTCGCCACTGTATATACATAAGAAGACCGCGAATAGCTAACATTTCTCTATAATTACTGATTTCGTTTGGTGATTTCAGAAGAAATGCCGCAATCTGGAACTGGAACAGTATTATGTATCCTACATGAAACGTTTGCGTCTAAGCCATCTTGGCATTTTCATATTCATTCTAATACTTAACACGATTGTACATTCCATGTTACTTATTGTCTCATTCTCTAAAAGCGTAAGTACGCCATTCACTTACTTTTAAGAAACAAAACATGTATGTATGTGTTTTTTAGGAGAACCGTGACATTTACGTAGATATCGGAACATACATGGGTTGTACCACAGTTATCCTCATTGTTTTGGTATTTAACTTCCGCACGACCGTCAATAAACGCTACGAATGGTTAACGTTTGCAACGATTTGGTTAGCGGTTTCAGCGCTTGTGGTGATGGGTGAGGAGGCACGCTTGAATTGAGTTTTCAATTGAAATTAAAATATTTAGTAGTATTTTTGTACACATTTAGATATATCCGTGCCAATCTATCGCGCTGTCACGGACTATAATATTACCGTACCGACCTACTATAGCTTTATCATATATTCCATCTACATATTTATGCCGATTGCCGAAGACGTGCAGGCTTTTATTTTAGGTGTGGCAGTAGCCGCCTGTTATATTATCTTATTTTCATTCGTAACATATCGTCGCCATTTGGATGGCACAAGAGAGGTTGATTTGCCAAAAATCATATCCGAAGGCATATTTATGACCTGTGTCAATATGCTGGGTCTGTTCTTTCGTCTGACACGTGAAGTAGCCATACGTACAACATTCCTCGATAAGCGTCAATGTGTTGAAGAGACTTTAGTTTTACGAGCTGCTAGAGATCAGGAGGTATGTACATACATACATACATAAATTTTTTTAATGAATGCAAACTTGATTAGCACAAGTATGAATGCATAAAATTTGGGCGTTGAATTTCAGAAAAGCTTACTATTGAGTATTATACCAGCTCAAATAGCTAATAAAATCGAAGAAGACGTCAAGATGCGGATCGAACACATGAAGGAAAATAAAAAACATAGACGATCAACGAATGACGATGTGGGGTATGTATTGCTTTGCAGATGTAGAAATACATACACATTTCTGTGTGTGGATGCAACCCACATATCGGCCCTTGTGCGCGAAATTATCGTATGCGCCTTTTTTCCGTAATTGACTTTTTGATGCAAATGGTTAAATTATTATAGCTTATATATGTATGTTTTATCGAATGCATTGTTACCACATTTTGTTTCGTTTATACAACAAAAATTGAAGGACCTACAATTTTGTGACGCCTCTGAATTGCCATTCGGCAAATGGTTTTTTAAGAATCTTTTTCAAGGGAGAAATACACTCGGATAATTGCCTTGCCTCTCGAGGGTCGACCGCTGTTAGAAAAAACTTAGTTCTTTTTTTTATTTAGATATTGCTTTGGTATTGGATCGAATCAAGGACCTACGGAGTGGTAGAACGCACCTCTAAAATTTGGTTCTAATATTGTAAACTAAAACACAGAAAAGTAGAAAAAACTCTATCCTGTATTTTTCACAGCGATAATTTCGCGCGAGGGCTCGGTATATGAAGTGATTGAAACAACCATTCAGATGTTGCCTTTTTTTAATGTTTACAATGTTTTCGAATTTTTTTACAAATTAAAATAATCTTTGTGCTATAACCAAGGCCATATACGTTAGGGCCCCAAAAAAGTTAACATATTTAAGACTTCCGCCAAAATATTTCGGAAAAATATTAGAATTTAAGCGAGCTGAACTGATTTGAAAATACCTTCAAAAATATCATTACGGGTATTCATATAATTTTTATATGCAGTTTGGACTTAGATTAATACCTCTGTTCTTTTGATACTGTTGATAAAAGTTTATAAAAAAGTTTTAAACCTTTAACTTTCTATTATATGAAGTGATTTTTTTGGAAATGATATTTATAAAAACTAATTATATTTATAAAAAAAACTAAATTTCTGGAGTATTTCTGAATTGATCCAGTTCACGCAAATCTTAATATTTTTCCGAAATATGATGGCGGAATTCTTAAAACTAAAGTTTAAACTTCATACAAAATTTAGAAAAATTCGTCAAATCGTCATCAAAACTTCGAACTCTTTAATTTTTTCTATTGTAATGAAGTTCAAGTTACGAGCGGTTAAATATTTGCGTTGATTTTTAATAACTTTTTTGCTAATGACCTTTTGTAATTTTCTCCATATAAACAGGAATTTCTAATGGAATTAAATTAGCAAGAATGTATGCAAAAAATTAAAAAAAAAAACAATAAACGCCAGGGGTATTTATATCAATCTGGCCGGACAAAGTTAAACGTTTTTTGTTTTAATTTTCAACTTTATTTTAAGCAGGTTCTCTATTGCTTCGCGTGGCTAAGGCTTATTTGGGTTCATTACCAGACACATACTTAGTCCTTAGAGCTTAGAATTTATCATCATATGTGTTATGGTCGCCTGGATAAAAGATTGTCGTAAGCGCAATTTTTATGATTTTTAGTTATAAATACAGTTATATATTTTAAAATAAGATTGGTGTTATCAGGTTTTGGATATCTCTTTTAGTTACCAAGATATTGAGTAAAAAGTATCGTTAATTTGGTACTAATATTGATCACATTTTGTCGTATTTCATACAAAGTGGCTGCCAAATTGTGGACAAATATCGCATGCCACAAAATTTTACTAAGATCCTTCGNGAAGTAATTAAAAAATTTTGTAAACTAGCGATATTCTCCGAGATTTTGGAGAAAATTTATCTTTGTATTTTTGAGAAATTGCATTCCAAACTTCAATCGCGATTTCCCAAAACCTGGCGAAATTAACATACGACAATCTTTTACCCAGACGACGATATATATGTATGTATGTATATACATCAGGTAGCTTATGGT